TTTAAACTAATCAGTAATCACACTATTTGCACTAAATACTCTAATCACACTAATCAATTAAAATGATAAATCAATTAAACCATTAATGAAATATTTTATAGAAATTGATTATCTAATCATTGATATAGGTAATGAGGTAGAAAAGTTGTAAGTTTTGAGGTAATGAATTAATCAGTATTTGATTAAAGTAATGAGGTAGTATTGAGAGTCTTTAAGGAAAGGGTTAATTGTTTTACTAGCAGCTTTTATTTATTGGATGGGGGGAATTTATTGCTCTGATTGCTGCTGCTATTACTCTGTAAGCCATAGGCTGTAACAAGATGTTCAAAGCACGCTGGATTTTTGAAAGAGAGCAAAACTCGCTCAATATGTCTCTGAATAAGATTGTTTTCCAAAAGTTCTTCAAGTTGAGTAGTAGTAAAAATACAGTCCAGAAATTTGGGTTAACCAATCCAATCTGTCCTTTACTTTTAAAGTTACTTCTAGTTGCAATATCTTTTTTTTCTTTTTTAACTAAATATGACAGTCACTCCAGATCGTTAATTGCAGCTATTTTCCTCCTTTGAGTCCCACTTTCCAAGGAAAATTCCACTGCAGAAATTGGAGTGATTCTCCCCAAGACTAAGTATGTTGTTACAAGATCTTTCCTTTCTTTTTCACTTCTGTCTCAGCTGCCTTCCTGGCTTCGATTCAGCCATGCTGGCAGTTCTCTTTTTAGTTCAGATGGAGGGGTTTTCTTCGGGTCAGTCAAGGAGACTCTTCTCTCCTCGCGACCACCAAAGCATTCCTCTGCCGTCCAGGGTGACTTTTGGCTCCTAAGAGCCTCAGGGCTTTCTCCTCCCTGCTTGTTTCTCCCTGCCAGCTGTCCGATGTGGCTCCGGGGAAACTGTGTGGGGGATATTAATGGAAACACGTTGTCTAGTGTGGAAGATACTTCTATCAGCTGTGTGAGGGATTTAAATGAAGGTACGTTGTTTGCACTCAGATGGCTCCAAGTGATCCAGTTCAAGAGCTCCACTAGTGTGGTTAATAGGGCTCGATGGAAAGAGCTTCACTTCTCTGGGGAAGGAGAGGAGGGCTCCGGATCAACTAGCAGGAGCTCTGCCAGCATTATTAGGGCCCCATGGCTTCAGAATCCAGCGTTTTTGGGCTTGTTTTTTGGGCTCTGGTTTACTCATTGTTACTGGTGCAGGCAGCAGCTTTAAAAATGATTTCTGGTGCAGGTGGTGGCTTTATAGGGAGATAGTGCTCAAGGAGTGAGAGCCTCACCTTCCTAGTTGGGTGCCACCATTTTCAAGAAGTCCTTTTATCCTGAAAGAAACTATGTTTCAGAGGGGTAAGAAACTTCATCCAATTAAAACTTCCAGAGTTGACACATACAACCGTAGCTGAAACTTTTATGGGGTGGTGGTGGTAGTATCAGCACTTCGTATTTATGGTTTTAATTTTCTATAAAGGTCAGGAAAGTGGAACCATGTTATTCAATGTCCAAAAAATAGTTTTGTGAAATGCATAATATACACATGGTTAAAATGTGATTTTTAACATGTCTATTCAAAACTGGCAATACTGACAAAAAAGAGATTTTCATCCACCTTTCTTAATACTAAAAAATCTAGCTATGTTGCTTTTCCTGGTTATCTTGGCCCGAAATGCTCATCTTTGGTAATTGTACGCTGTTTTTGGGATACACCATAACCTTTTCAATTGGCTCTATTTCAGCATCATTTGTCAACTGCACAATGTTTTATTTTTCTAGCCAAACAATTCCCATTATAAAATACTGGAACACTTGTGATTATTAAAAGCAACCAATTTCCTTTATAATGAAAAATATTGTTGAATTAGTTCCATCTTAAAATAAAGCAGATCCATTAGTTTACTCATAAATGAGGTCATGCTGCTGTTTACAAATGTTAAGAAAGAATATAATGTCTTCATTCTTATAGTTTGTAGTACTAATACGTGTGGAGGTTGTTGACTCAAATGTTAACTCACTAGTTGAATAGTATCAGACAGGCCACTTGATTTCAGTTTAAGTTACTGGGAGATGTAAAAAAATGAGGTATCTTAAATTGTTTTGAATCAGTTAAGAAAACCTCTAGATATATAACGAGATATATTTATTTGATTATTTATTGATTTGTTTGTATATCAAATTTAAATTGCTGCCCATCTCAAAATAAAGTGACTCTGAATGGCATACAATAAGATTAAAAATAATTAATACATAATAACAATTATTAAATAAAAATAAAAAACTGAGCTGAGGGAGAACTGAATATATTAATAACAGAGCCATCTCAATATCTCGCCGGTTCCTTTGATTTATTCCTTTCAAATATGAATCAGATTTCAGATTCTTTCTAAAAAAAAAATCAGATTTTTTTTCTGGAAAAAAGTTGTATTCAAACATTTATTCCCACAAAGCAAAGAAAGCCGAAAGAACATGCTACTTTCATTGCACATCCCAAGGCACTTTAACAAATAATAATCTGGTAATTAGTGCTGTTGAGGTAATTCCCCGTTAAGAGAATGAGTGCACACAGGGAGATGTAGTGAGAGTGATGCTGAATAACACACGACCAGCACACAGATACACTGAATAGTAAAATGTAGGTTTTACTTCCAGTAAACAGTTAAGCAAAGTCCAACAAGCAGTCCAAATCATACACGGTTATAGCAGTCAGCTTTCAGTCCAGGGATAATCCAAATAACAAAGTCCAGTATCATACACAGTTCAGTAACAGACTTACAGCAATCCAGGAAGAATGACGATCAGCAACAGTCAATAGGAAAAAATGCAGGAACCAAAAACAGCAAACATCAGAATATCTAGCAACAACAGAACAGAACAACCCAGGTTTCTGGCTCCATCTTATGGCTGTTTGAGGAACCACACCCAATTACAATTTTAGCATTCCCTTAAAGAGACAGTATTAAATGTCTATCCTGGTTTACTGTTGGGTGACTATCAATTCCTAACAAGTGCTATCTTTCAATATCTACAATATATTTTTATATAATGGTAAAAGAAAAAGAAAAATCTGCATGTTGTTCCTTTCCTCGTGGTTTGAATTTTGACATCTCCCTCTGGTCCTGTAAACATACTTCCCATCTGTTCATACAGCTGGAAGATTAAAATGAAGTGGACATTTGCACAGATATGTGACAGTATACAGGGCAACTGGAAGTCACTCATATATTTAGATGGAAAGTAAAGAAGAAACACACATGCCCAAATTTAATTACAGTATATTGCCATATTATTGTATTCCCATTCTTTTCCTCTTAATTGTATACCATGACCAACACCAAAACATGATTGCAAAAATATTTTATTACAAAGTTTTTAATTGATTATTCTTAAAGTAGAGTGAAAATGCCCCTGACCTTGGATAGCATTCATATTCCATATCAAAGCTCTAGCTGAATTCTGAAAAGGATTTTTAACAAAATGTTTAGGGAAGAAAAAGATATCTAAATATTAAATGCACAAAACCTTATTCCATACTTATTTTGATATAAATCATGCTGTTTTCAACAATACACACCTTTGCAATAATATTGGAATCTTGAATGTCATTGTTTTTAAATATAAAACTGATATTACAAGGAAGTGCTTTAACATTAGGCTTAGTTTGTATTGTGGGTGCCTTCAAAGTCAGTATTCAGTCCTATTCAGTCCCTGCAATTTTATTGGCAAGGCTTTTCAGAAGTGGCTTGCAAGCATATCCTACCTAAGGTTGACAGAAAGTGACTGGCCCAAGATCACCCAGTTGGTTTCATCTAATCCTAAAGCAGGACTAAAATTATAGTCTCCTGGTTTCTAGCCTGATGCCTGAACCACTATAACAAAACTGGTTGTCTAACTTAGATTAAGGAGACCATAGTAGTCACATAAATTAGCAGTCACTTTTTTGATGGCACTGCTTCTAGAGAGTTAAATCAACCTTCCACAATCTGTTGTCCTTCAGATGTGTCAGACTTCCATAATTCCTAGAGGAAATGACTTTGTGCTGCTAAAATCTAACACATCTGGACAGCAATCTGATGGGAGAAGGCTCAGAGAAGACTAAGTTTTTAATCTGCCTTGTTAATACAATATTTTTGCCTAATTAGATGGATTAGAAAATAGGGTGTTTTTTTCTTTTTTTTTCTTTTGCCCAGTTTTTATAAACCCATTGAAGTTTATGTACATGTCAAATGCTAAGACACTGCATGAAGAAAGTACTACATAAAAAAATCACAATAAGTTTTCTCTTTTCTGATGGTTCTTCCTATATGTAAAAGTTTAGTTCCCTGGTTTTACAAGTCAAAGTAGATAGGTGGATTCATGTAAGGATTTTATGTTGAGTCATTTTGTGACTCAATTATGTGTTCTGTGACAAAGACAGGTCTGATAATCCATACAATTCTTGGCTGTAAAATGTGTGTGTGTGTGTGTGTGTGTGTGTGTGTGTGTGTGTGTGTGTGTGTGTGTTTTAAAATTTAGAGACAAGATGTCTCTAGAGAAATGCTAAATACTTTCTTGGCTTTTGTATAATCTTCAATTTCACATTATCCCCAGGTGCATTTTTCATACCATATTGGGAAGTGCATATGTAGGGGACATTTGGGGACAAATGAGAAGGCAGAGGAATGAGTTAAGAAAATACTTTCTTGACACTTTATAAAAAAAAATCTCCCTATCCCAAGGATGAATATACATATTACTGTTTTGTAACAAGAAAGCATCTTTGCTGCAGAACTCTTATTCTGAAATTCACAGACATCAAACCATTCTCAATATTCTGCCACAGTATAATTCTGATACATATTTTCAGCTGTTACATATAAATTTTGGTTTGCTGCTGCTGTTTCGCAATTTTTTATTGCGTGACAAGAAACTATTTAAAATAAAAAAGAGGTATCATCTTCCGATCCATTTTTATTCCCCTTTAAACATTACTAACATACTAGCACATAGCAAGTGGCAATAATATAGGGAAAAAATAAAGATAATAAGTTCTTTTCTTTCCCCTCTCAATGGCTAAGTAAAGTTAAGCAAATAGTTAAGCACATGTCTGTAGATGTTTCTTCACGAACGTCACTTGCGTTGTTTATTATTAAGACATTTAGGTTTTTTTTTTACAAGACCTATTGTATATTAGTCTTTCTCAATCTAGTGCCCTCCTGAAGATTTGGACTGAAAATACCATAATGGCCTTCTGATTATGGGGCTTTAGTGCCAATCATTTTGAAGAGCACAAAGTTGAAGGAAGCTGGCAAACTCTACACAATCTACATAAAAGAAAAGAAAAACTAGAGAAAGAAAAGGAAAAAGATCTAGAGAAAGAAAAGGAAAGGGGAATTAGCTTTTCGATTTATATAAAGAATGCTGCCATTCATAATGTTTAATGCTGACCTGAGACCATAGAGAACTGTCCCATCTGGATGTAAACGAATCATTCTGTTCTTCACGGTGACACCATGTACAAATGACTTCTTATCATTCAGGAAGTAGGTATCAGGAACCCAAAGCTGATCTGCTACTCTATTGTCCAGTGTAAGATTTAAAGGTATTATATTATACGAAAGCCTCTTATCCCTCCATGCTTGTTGAAAGTACATGGTCAAAGTATAGTCCTGAAATATAGAAGAGAGAGGGGAAAATAGGTTGAAAATTTTACTATTTTTTATTTTGCTATTTGAAATAGCCAAACCAAACCAAAGAGTATTTCTTCAACTGACCACCATTGTCTATAAAATCAAAGTTTAAAAAATAAATAAATACTGTGTTATTCTCCAAAATAGAAAATATAAAAATATTTGGCACCAGACTCTATATGATTATATTGTCTCATATTTTTTTAAAAAAAGTTCCTTTAATTAAAAGAGAAAGCATAGGAATAATGGCTATAGAGTACCAATTATTCATAAGTATTGCTTTAAGAATCAACAGTATTTGATTAAAGTTTGGGAATGTAATTGTCTAGATATTAATAACAGTATTTTATTTTACCATATCAATCTATTCAAATATATCTAATACAAAATTGCACTTAGCTCAGTCTAGTAAACAAATTATGATTGTACAGAATGTCTCTATAAAGAATGTTTTCAGACTTCCAAAAGAAACAAAGATTTCTTGTCAAAGTATTCAAAAAGATACATTGCATAAATAGAGATTATGTGAATTACAGTTTAACACATCTAAAAAGCACCACATTAGGAAAGGCTTAATTAGACAAAAAGAGCAGCTCTTTGTGACATTCCCTGAAGTCTGGAGATGCAGTTATCTTTGTAAAATAAGTCTCTTCTTCTGGGAACATACATTCAGCCCACTAAGGATGCTGGGAAGAGTAAGACACAGTATCTTATGATTAGTCCTCTAGACATCAGTATCTCCAGGTGAGGCCTGTACCACATTAGTTCAATACTGATATATACTACTTTATCTCTCAGTATTTCATGATTCTCAGTTGAATATACTCACCTGAACCAGTTAAAATATTATGTCTTAATATAGACGAAAGGCTTAATCAACCAACTGATTTGAATCATTTGCCTAGATAGTTTGTAATCCACAGGATTGGAATCCCCAAATAATCTGAGGCATATTTCAGGCAACATAGATGGCAATTTTGTTAAGGCCTTGTTTCAGTATGGCATTGAAAAGAGCCACTAGCACTATTGCTCCTGACTGCCCTCCATGGCTATGGGAAACCTAAAATGTTGTCTGGCTTTATGAGCAGCACCAGACAATGAAGAGAAGTGGCAACTCCCTGGAGTGAACCCAAATAAATTTGCAGAAAAATACCCAAGCACAAAAGACGACATAATTATGTCTGTCTAATAGTAAGGATGGGGCCAAAGAGGGTTTATTTCTCCACCACTATTGCATTTTACCCTAATAGACCTTTCGCAGATGTTGGGCAAAGAGCTCAAAGCTATCCCAGAAAAATCTCAGCTGATTACTCAGCAAACTACTATAATAAATTTGCCAAGAACACTAAAAGAGTGTTGTTTGCATCCACTTCAAATTAGACATCACAGTTATGCTGAGTGTATGGGAGCACCTTGTTCATATGTAATGGAAACAATTTGGAGAGGCTGACAAAATTGGCAACATTTTTAAATTTGTCATCTGGTATAGATCTTCAGTGAAGATAATCAAGGTTGTTTCACATAAGAGGCATGGCAGATTTATACCCACTGGCCTCTCTTGAAGAGATCCTTAATGAACAGTGTGATTTAAGATAATTACTACTATTTGCAAATTTGTCTTTATTAGGAACAGTAATAGAGAGGATTCTACCCATCCAAATGTATGTGGGAAATCTGGATTATCTAGACGAATTTGGGTTTGCTTCTGGTTTTCATATGGTAGTAAAATGATCTTAATTGCTCTGACTGAGAGAGCCAATTTGGCACGGTGGCTTAAGTCACTCTTTCTTAGATTTAGGAAGAAGGTAAGACAAATCTTTGCTGAAAATAGCAATAGCACCTAAACTTATATACCGCTTTATAGTGCTTTACAGCCCTCTCTTAGTGGTTTACAGAATCAACATATTGCTCGCAACAATTTGGGTCCTCATTTTACCCATGTCAGAAGGATGGAAGACTGAGTCAACATTGAACCTGGTGAGATTTGAACTGCCAAATTGCAGCCAGCCAGCAATCAGCAGAAGTAGCCTGCAGTACTGCACTCTAACTACTGTGCCACCGTGGTTCAAAATGCTGCCACAAAATATTCAGAGACTTGTCCAGGTAGTCACTAGGAATCAATACTGACTTGAAGGCACAAATGAAGCAAACCAAAGTAAAACCATGATTGAGACTCTTTACCAGATGACAGAGATGGAGAACATTACTGTGTTCATCCTGTTAGAATTCTTAAAAAATGTAGCTAGAACAACTCGGTTGGGAATTGACTACAAGTGTTCTATAACTATTATATTTCTTTTTTCAAGATTATTATTCAAGACTGACAGTGGAATATTCCATTTAGTCTATGATACCTGAATTGTGAATCCAACAGGATTTTATTCTTTCTGTACAACTTTTTAATATTTACATAAAATGTAGACACAACTAGATTATTCAATCTCATGCTGGCATGTTAAACAGAAGGTTTAGAAATTGTAAATAACCAAGAAATTTACTGTAATGTTTATAGTGTTGGGAATGTTTTAATTGCCCCCAAAGATAATATTTATATATGATTTTTATGTTTTAATTGTATACACCCAGAGTCAATTTCTGAGTGATATAGGTAGTTTCTAAATTTGATAAATAAATAAATATAGCAATTTTGAAATTAAAAAAATGTATTCTCTTATATTTTTAAAGGAATTGTTAATTAATTTGTTCACTTTTCAAAAACTTGTTCTGCCTTATATTGTTAAAAAGTATAATAACGCAGTAACTATTTCTTTACAAGTATCATCAAAGATGAGAGGCACAGTATGTATTATACCAACTGACAAAAAAAGAGTCCATGCGTACAGTGTATTCCTAAAAACATTATTTGTCTAAAAAGTAATGCCTGCTAGGTTAGGTTTCACATATTGCTGATTATATTGTAGACAATATTATTCTAAAATCTTATCTATCAATCGATGACCAAAGTGTAATTTCAATGAGGAAAAATTCCATCCTAATTTAATTATAGAATTCAGCAAAAAAATATTATGAATTATTTCCATCTATGTAACTTCCCTTTGCTCATTGTTCAGAGAATGTTAGCTAATAAGTGGGTAAAATATTACAAGAATATATGTAAACAGTATTTTCTGCACCTACTGAGATTTCTGGTAGATAAATAACTTTTTTTAATGAGAATTGGTAGCATTGTGCAAAGTGTTCTGAATTTATAAAAGCTATTGGTATTCTGCCCTTGAAATAAAGCTTAACAGATAACAGATAATCAAAGTTGGAAGGGACCTTGTAGGTCATCTAGTCCAACCCGCTGCCCAAGCGGGAGACCCTACACCATTTCTGACAAATGGCAGTACAATCTCTTCTTGAAAGTCTCAAGTGATTGCGCTCCCACAATTTCCGAGGGCAAGCTGTTCCATTGGTTGATTGTTCTTCAGAAAATTTATCCTTATTTCCAAGTTAAATCTCTCCTTGTTCAGTTTCCATCTATTATTCCTTGTCTGGCCTAAAGGCGCTTTAGAAAATAGCTTGACCCCTTCCTCTCTGTGGCAGCCCATCAAATATTGGAAGACTGCTCTCATGTCTCCCCTGGTCCTTCTCTTTACTAGACTAGCCAAGCCCAGTTCCTGTAACTGTTCTTCATAGGTTTTAGCCTCCAGTCCCCTAATTATCCTGGTTGCTCTTCTCTGTACTTTTTCTAGAGTCTCAACATCTTTTTTATAATGTGTTGACCAAAACTGGATGCAGTACTCTAGGTGTGGTCTTACTAAGGCTTTATAGAGTGGTATTAGTACCTCACTTGATCTCGATCGTATCCCTCTTTTAATGCAATTTAGGATTGCATTAGCTTTTTTGGCTGCTGCTGCACACTGCTGGCTCATATTTAGTTGGTTGTCCACTAAGACTCCAAAATCCCTCTTACAGTTACTGCTATTGAGCCTGGTTTCACCCAGTCTATATGTGTACTTTTGGTTTTTCTTGCCTAAGTGTAGGACTTTACTTTTCTCTACATTGAATTTCATTTTTTTAGATATGGCCCAGTGTTCTAGTCTGGATATTGAGCCTGTCTTCTTGGGTGTTAGCTATTCCTGCCAGCTTAGTATCATCTCCAAATTTGGTAAGTTCCCCTTCTATTTCATCATCTAAGTCGTTAACAAAGATATTGAAGAACACTGGGCCTAAGACAGAACCCCACTGCTTCCTTCCTTCCATGTAGACTTAGTCCATTAAGGACTACTCATTGAGTACGGTTTGTCAGCCAGTTGCGAGTCCAACTAGTGGTGATGCTATCTATTCCACTTTTTTCTAGCTTACCAAGAAGTAGGTTGTGGTCTACTTTGTCAAATGCCTTGCTGAAATCTAAATATATTATATCCACAGTATTTTGCTGGTCTACTAATTTAGTCACTATGTTGAAGAATGAAATAAGATTGGTTTGGCATGATCTGTTTTTAACAAACCTGGGCTGCTAGTTATTACTTTACTTGTTCAAAGTTCCAGACATAAAAAATAAACTTGAAATTGGTCATTCAACCGTTCCATACTTGAAATGGAGCCTTTATGTTCAAGAGTTTGTTTTGAAGCTGGAATTATGTACTTTGACCCATTTTGAGTTTTGTTCTGATGCAAAACAGAAAACATCCAATTGGAACTATTCTGGCATAACATTTCAGAATCAGACCAGGAAAGGATCATGGAGGTCTTCTAGTCTAGCCCCCTGCTCAAGCAGGAGACCCTAAATCATTTCAGACAAGTGACTGTCCAGTCTCTTTTTAAAAACCTTCAGTGATGAAACACCCACAACTTCTGAAGGCAAGCTATTCCTCTGGTTAATTGTCCTCACTGTTAGGATGTTTCTCTTTAATTCCAAGTTGCTTCTCTCCTTAATTTGTTTCCATGCATCGTTTCTTGTCAGGCCTTCTGGTGCTTTGGAAAATAAATCGACCACTCCTCTTTGTGGCATCCTCTCAAATACTGGATTAGTGCTATAATGTTCTCCCCCCGCCCCCAGTCCTTCTTTTCTCTAGACTAGCCAAACCCAAATCCTGCAACTGTTCTACATGTTTTAGTTTCCAGGCCTTTAATCAATTTCAAGTGGGATTCTTTTGTTCATAGCTCAAAACAAAACATTTCCCATTTTATGCATATCTTTAACAATTTCCTTTTGTCACAGCTGTTGAATGATCCAGAGAAACAGACCAATTGTTTAGCACTAGATGCAAAAATCACTATATCTAATAAAAACAGAGTCATGAAAGAGGGGGAAAACTAAGAATAACATTTTCCCTAATAAAGTGTCAAAATGTCTTCCAAAACTTAATTAAACAAAATTAATTTTCTGAAATCTAAATTTATTTTCTGAAAACTGAGTAAAGTTTGAGGACAGAATGAATGATGTAAATACCTTAATCTGAAATACATTATACATTGACTTTCAGACCAATCCTTCTGGTGAAAAAACTAATGCAATTCTAACAAATCTAAACTAAAAAAAAGGTAATGTCCCACCATTTTCCAAAGAATAATGAAGCCACTCCTTTTCCTTTTTTTCTTAAATCTAGACAAGCCAACTATTAAACTGAGCAGAAAAAAAAATACTTGACTCAATATTTTATTGCACAATTTTTGCGCTACAGAAATCCTTCTTTCCTAACAGATTATTTATAAAGTCTTTCTTTGTTTTATTTCCAGGCATCCTCTTCTACAAAGCTTCCATCTTCAAAACTTTATTCAAAAGCATGAACAGTATCTAAATAATTATTAGATATCAATCTGTAAACTAAAAACCATGCTTCGCCCGTGTTTTTTTTTCCAAAAATTTTATTGATTTTTAAAAAACAAACATAAACAAACAAAACACAAAACATGAAAACATAAAACATCTTTTTTGAAAGCAGCTTGATCCCAGGTTACATCTCTTTGTACAGACACAAATTCAAATTCATGCTCATTTTTATATACCGTTCCATATCTTATTACCATTCTACATTTTCTATATAGCTTCTCCCCTCTTTTAACTCTCTTAATTCTATTTTATTTCATCTCAATTTAAATCATTATACTTATATCCTTTGTCTGTCCTGTTTCAGCTGTCTATTATCTTTTCTCATTAAAACAAAATTTCTCCTGTAATCACTGATTGGAGTATGACGCCTTTATATCTT